CGGTTCAGCCGAGGTTTCTAATGGAAAACCCGGCGAGCACTTTCGCGCCGAGAGAGATTAATCGAGTATGAAACGGCGAACTGGTTTCGATGCATCGTGTAATTCGAGGCACGCGTACACGGCCGCGCGAAACTTGAATCGCGGCCGTAAAAAGACCGCGTTATTAAAGGTTGCGCTCAGCCTTTCCGTTTCATTCATCTGGCACACGGAATTCTCAGCGTTCGACCGCCATTTCGAGTCGCAGGTATGCAGCAAGTATGCTTATTTCCAACGATGTAAACGCATTCGTAAAATTAATTCTGTTTAAAAATAAAAGCATCTCGATTTTCCAAGGGGTCATTCGATATTAAGCATAATAACGTTAAATTTTGGTCAAAGTAGGAGATCAACGATTTCATTAGTCGACATTGATCGCTAGTCAGTAGCTACCTTTTGTCACCGGTCACTAAACCGGCAGTCAGTCTATTGTAAAACACAGAAGTGTACACACGTGGATGGAAAATTAATAAATACGAGATTTAACTAAAATTCGAACTGTCCTGCGTACTTTGCTATTCAAATCCGGTGTTATTGTTGCAATTTCTCGAATGAAATCACACATATATAAAGTGTAATACTGGTGAAATATATACGATAACTAATTGGTCTTTGTGCTGGTCCGGGTTTGTTCCCGAAAACAGCAGGTGCTTTTAAATCCAAAAACCCTGCCTGGGTCCCTTGATTCTTGCATAATACCGAAAATCCTTGAAGACCAAAAATCGCTATTGGCCTGCAAAGCTTAGCAAGCCTGACGCCATTGTTTCTTGGCTATGATTTATTACAACTGTACATAAAATAGCGGTTGATTAACGACATTTTCCATTTTCCTGCTCGGTGTTAAACACGTACAGATGTATATAATACGCATTGCAGTCGGTCCTGAACGTCGATGGCGTCGTTCGTGTCATTCGGTACAATAATTTACGAGCATGATGTATCGTTCGAAGCGACTACGCTCGCGGAGGTTTCCACGTTGGAATTGTTCTCGCGAGGGAGTTGGGAGGAAGAAAAGGTGGTCGGAGGGAAGAAAATAAAGGAGAAGACGTGGAAGCAAGATCGTTGGCGGATGAAGCGCGTCGCGTTATCAAAGACTCGCCATATCGCGTCGCGGCAGAAGCTTCTTTTCGCTTACCTTCTCGCGAGCGTATTTTTACACGCGCGAATCAAACGCGAGCTTCTCGTGGCCGACCTCGTTTAGCAATTCCGACGATTCGCTAACGAGGTTAACAACGAGCTGCGTGTTTCGCGTCGGAAATAGAGTTGCTCCGTTGGACCCTAAATCCTTCAGGCGCCCACGTGTTTCTGTTTGACACCGATATCGATCAACGTACGCGGCGGAGAAAGAGATTCGGAAGTTTGGGAACGAAATTAAGGAAGTTCGGGATTTGGGTGATACCCGATACCGAAAGAGTTAGTCCCTAGGGACTTTTGCTCGTCCCGCTATCCCATTCTCGCGAAAATTGGGATTCCATTCGCTATACTCTAATCTAAACGCGACTACGTACAACGCCTTGTAACACGATTTATTTACGAATTATGTAAATATGTTCTGTATTACGTTTATTCTGGCGATATTATTGTAACAATAATGGCGGCACTGGAAATTCCCTGAATATTCCGCAAAGATTGAATTCCGTATTTTGTGATAAATATTCCGGAATATTGTAAATATCGAACATTTATTTAAATTAAATGGTTTTACGTATCGTGACATGGATGACCGCCTCTGGCGAATTGAATAACGATCAACTGCGACCCCTATGGCATTCGATGCGTGAACCATTCGAGTGGT